CGTTATATAGATTTTGAATAGTTTCTCTTAGAATTTTTTTTAGGAGAGTTACTTTTAGAATAGTTTCTCTTAGTTTCTTTTATTTGCTTTACAAAACAAATCTACTGGTTGGATCGTTGCTCATTTGTGTATGCAAATGATTTGATTATCTCTGTATTCATCTTTGTTTGAAAATCAAGATAGACTGGTTGTCAGGGATTCATCACAGTCACTTCAGTCACCATCCAGGATAATTACCCGATCACAGTCACCTGAGTTCTGATCACCCGCACCTGCTGTCACCAATCAAGCCACACTACAAATACACACACAGCACAGTCACTCACTGTCCGGTCTACCGTTCACTCCTACGAACTTCTCTGGACTCTCTCTGCCAAATTCTCCTAGAACGAATTACCTGCTGTTCCTCCCGTGATCCTCCAACGACTCCTTGGAAACTGTTCCACGATCTCCAACGTAACCGGCATCCGATCCTCACCATCAGAACTCAGATAAGCACCCTGGAACCATTCACTGTGTTGACACTCACCTGCCTTTACACACCTATTCCAGTCATCCCCTTACCCAGTCAATAAACCATCCTGATTTGCACTTACCTGTTGTGTCTGGCCTTGCTTTGTGACACTGGTAGCAATTCTACAGGAATGGCTCCTCATTTTACGTTATATTTACATAATCTACTTACCCTGAACATATTGACTAAATCAATTATTACGAATGTTTCACTCAAAAACAAAACTTTGAATCATTCTGATGAATCGGTCTGATTAATTTGTCCTTGAGGTCACAGCAGTTAACAGCCTGGAGAAGGAGAAAAGCATTAGTAAATAAGGATTTTTTTTTTGTTCTTCCCCTAAAGTGATTTTCTGATACACAACACAGTGTAATTATAATTGACAATACATTTAAATAGCCTCTGAAATTCATTTGAATCTTGTTGTTTACACAGGGGTTTTATCAATTCAAGAAATGACAAATGGAGCAGATGGTAAGCTGGTCTGTTTATTGACATTAACTGTATTATTTTGTCCATTGTAACTGATGTTCTATTATTTTGTCCATTGTAACTGATGTTCTTTTCTTTTTTTTCAAACCATAAGAAAGCCCTTTTTTTAACAAACAAGTGTTTAGTTTGCCAAATACTTCAACTGAAATGCACTGTCAGTCCAGACAACAAACGCTCTACATGAATGCATTTTAAATGATTTTCCAGTCCATATTTTAGCCACTTAAGCTCAGGGCGTTTTTTGGTATTTTCGCCTAAATTTGACATACTCAAATTCAAATGTTTACCCTACACACATACAATGGAGGAAATAAAAAAAAATGGTTTCATTGTAAAGAAAACCCTTTGAACTACAAAATATGAGTGTAATTCTTTATAAATAACATTATATATTTTTCAAATATTACAATAAACACAAAAAAAACATAGGCGCTTTTGGAGTTTTAAAACAAATAATTTTTTTGAAATTCTGTAATTCAGGTTCTATTAGGCCCAGCTCTCTGCAATTTACTTTGTTTGATGCCACTAGGTGCCAAAAAGTACCAGAATTTTTTTTTTTTTCAAATAACAGCTTCTAAACAGGAGTTATTATATTATATCTGAAGCGAGTCAAATTGTCTATTTCTGCATCTAAATGTGTCATTGTGAGTTTCCTTTGCAAAAACAGGCTTTATAAAACACATTAACCATACAATCCTATTTTACTCTGTGCTATAAGCACTTTAATTGATTATTGATTGAATTATGTTTCATTTTTATGTTTTTCTAAGTAGTAATATACAAAATGGCACAAGCGAATTGGAACAAATTTCACATATTGTGTTATTCTACAATCAGTTGAATTATTTCAGGATGCACAAGACTGTCTACAAACAGTGTATCATAATGCTAGCCGCGCTATCAAGTTTCCGAACAATGCTTACAGTATCAAAAACACGCAAACACACGCTCATATAGCCTTACCAGACGCGCGCTCATTCCTCTCCATGGCGCCGCGGGATGTTCTTCACCATATATAACTTGTAATATGATTATCATAGATTGATATTATCCGAGCCGCATGTGCAGTAACCTTTCCGTGAGGGAAACGCGTGACCAAAACCCCCAGAGGTACATTCCCGGATGTGAAGACCCCCCTCTCCCCCCTCTAGTGACGCAGAGGTGTCAAATTTCATGGCTCTGAAATGGCCGCCGAGTTGACAGACATGTAATCTGACCAATTGCAGTCCACAACCGAAGACAGATCTCTCGAACATCAGACGCGCTGGCTGTGCGCGCTTCTGATATGAAGAGCGCCTGTTTTCCAGACGCGCGTCTATTTCGTAACCTGGACAAAACGCTATATATCTCACCGATGGAAGCACGCAGAAACGTGAAAATGGTCTTGTTTGAAAGAAGAGATCCTAATCTAAAAGATAATATAGAGTATATAGACATTTGTGTCTGTTTGCGGCTGACTGAACCAGTGCTACGAGTATAAATGTAAATTCGTTCAGAGGTGACAAAATTTTACATCGCGATTCTATTGCATATCATTCGATCTGTGATTGTCACACAATGAAATAATCTACATCGTCAAATTCCTGAGAATGAGAGCTTTCTTGTGATATATGACTTGACTTTTTTGTGAAAAATATATAAAATACACATTCTTCCTAAAAATTATTTGCAATGGTTAGGCGGAAATTCGTGTGTGGGACGAATACATTTCTAAGCTTAATTTTACTGCTTTATGAATATAAAAACCAAAAGGAATGGTATTCTTTGTAAAGAAGACACTCCAAGCTTTCAAATGAACCCATATATGGGCTGATACCATATAAGGAAGGCTATGTAAATGAAGCATAAACATTTTTTACGTCATTTTGGACCCGTATCCGGATCCGCAGAGTTTAACTGGCTTTAGATTACACTAAACCCATCACTATGTAAGCTTAGAACTAAATATAAAATGTTGGATAACTAATGTATTAAACAGAAGTAGCCAACAATGGCATTTTGGGATCTTCACTCAAGGAAATTAAAACTTTGGATTAGTCTAATCAGAAGACAAATTCAAGAACATCAAGGCCTTTAAAAGAGGTAGATTCATGACATTTAGAAAATGATTATTAGTCATTAAGATTATGTATTAAGATGACTCAAATGCAAATAAAATTAAGCTAAGAACTCTGACAGCCATAAAGTTTGATAAAGAATTCCATAAAGAATTAAATGAAGATGATGGTTTACTAACATCAGTCCCTGAAACATTTTCCAGAGATCGCAGCTTCATGGGTTGCTTCAGTCATCCCAGTGGGGGACAATGGTTCCCGAGTTAGCTGTCAATGGTGATCGTAGCTGATGTTCCCACACCAACACACAGATTGCGACCCATGGTGGAGATTGGAATTACTGAAAGAATACCAAGTAAACACACAGTCGCCATCACTAATGAAGACAGCTCCTATTATTAATCCTCTGGGGTCCGAGGGTGTTTTGGGGCCTGGAAAATTTTTGACATACCCTGACATTTGTGCTTTTTTCAGTTGCTTACAAACATTTGAATGTCTAAAGTTTAATAACACTGTAATCAGCACAAACTGGGCTACAATAATATGTGAGCAGCATGTATGTACGTGATTGTGTTTTTGAGAAAACAACG